AATGAGAAACCAGATACCGTGGCATTAGCGGAGAATTCCTCAGATGAGACAGGAAAGGGCGGAAATCCCGGGGTTACCTTACACCTGGAGCAGGTTGGAAGGAGGCCCAGCCCGTTGTTGGCAATTTAAGCTCCGGGCGCCTTTGAGAGGAGCCGCACTCGCGCGGCGGTGAGAGCGATCCTGCCAGTGCCTCCGCCAGCCCCACACGCACATGTGCACGCGTACACCTGCACCCGAATGCGTGCACACACACGTACGCAGGTGCATGCCACACGCATGCGCAAGCATACACACGTATGCACACGCACACACACACATGCACTCGGCTGCACACGCTCCTTGGACGTCCCTTGGTAACACCGGCTCTGCCCCTGCTGCGACCTGAGCACCTCGAGAACTGGTTCAGTGGTGCCGTCACAGGCAGCCCGGCAGCTCAGGTCAGGCCGCCCCCAGCTCACAGAAGGCGCACACGCGGACGGGAAAGACGGTGTGTGCCGGGCCTCTGCTCGGCGCACACGTGTGCACGTGTGTGTGTGTGTGTGTGTGTGGTCACAGGCCCACACTCTGCCATCCTGAGCTTCGTCCCCCTGCACACGAAAGCGTGAGGTGGTGGCCACGCTGCGCCGCCGGCTAACGGAGCGGAAGCTGCGCCTGCCCGGACCCGCCAGGACCATCCTGAGGGTCTGCTCCCCGGTTCAATGGCCACTAATCACCCGGCGTCTCCTGAAACTCACGGATGGATCCGGTGAGGGGCCAGGGGCCAGCGGACAGCTGGGTGTATGCGTGTCTTCTCCGCTGGACGGCCTGAGGGCCTGAGGCCTGAGGCCTGAGCCCTGGGCCCAGCGCGGGAGCAGGGCCCTTGCTGGGTCTGTGGGTGCTGTTGAAGGTTGTTGTGCAGGAATCAGTGTTACTGCCCAGGAGGCGCCCGCCACCCCGTCTCTCTCTCTCTCTCTCTCTCTCTCACACACACACACACACACGCACATGTGCACACCCCGCCATGCACACGCACACACGTGTGCACACACCCATGTACATGCACACCCACGCACGCACACGCACATGCACGCACATGTACATGCACACACACATGCACACACACCCATGCGCGCGCACATACACACATGCACGCACACATGCACACACACACCCATGCGCACACACGCACACACACGCATGGTGTCTGACTCCGAGGCGTTCAGCTCCGAGCTGCACTAGCTGTTGGGGAACACACCCCTTGCCTTCCTGGCGCTCAGGCCCGTCCAGCTGGAGAGCCGCGGCCCAGCCCCGTGTGTTGTTGGCAAGGAGCTGGGCAGGAGCCTGAACACGGTAAAGGCCGCCTCGTCTCACCCAGACCAACCTCAGAGAGGGGACGGCCGAGCTGGCCTCCGAGGACACAGAGGACGCTGGCGGTGAGAGACGGCCCTGGAGACCAGGCCACCGGAACCGCCTGCTGCCCTGGAGACGCCCGCTGACCTGGGGCAGGTGCTCCAGCCCCCGCGCTCACGTTTCCATGGCGGGG